AGTGGAAAAGGTTGCCAGTGGACTGTTGGCGTGTCTAGCAAAGCAGAAATCAGCTTTGGTGATCTAGAGACATTCCCCAACTACGTAGTACCATAGTTCTGTACTTTAAATACCCATATACTTCCTATTTTCCTCTATATCCGCTTAACTACGGAATGTCAAGATGGCAAAATCAACCACCATCTTTCTCCGAAAAGAATCTATCTCCGGAAATCCAATCCAATCCAATAGAAATAGCAAAATCAGCTGCTTCGTCATATTTAGTAGTCCTCGTACTTTCTGTGCTTCACAAAACAAGGCAACGTTGCCACCTGTCGAGAGCGGCTGGGGACGAGAGTGATCATCAGCTGGACAGCCCAAACACATCCACTCCCCCTCCGACCCGAGCCTCAGGCCAGCATGTCGATGACGTGAACGTTGAGAGAAAACTTGGCTCGTTCTCGCGGTAACTCAAGTATATTGGATGTCTTTCCTACAGGAACTGTTTGTGTGTGTTCTTTGTAGGATGTATATATGTGATATTGTAAGGTTATTTTGTTATTAATATAGTGTGTTCTTATATTTCTTGTTTGTTTTTATTTTTTATTTTTTTCATTGAGGGTAGTAACTGCACAGCCTGCCAGTGCGTTGGTAAGTATTCATCTATTTACGTCGCATTCAAGGACAGCACCGTTGCTATTTTTAGCCTGTTACCTCACCCAAAATATCGATATGCACAACGCAAAATAGAATCACAGGTGAATAATTTCTGTTGTTCTTTTTGCTAATGTTATTGTTGTATTCGTAATGTAACTGTCATTTCGTTTTTTTTTTTTAGTGTCATTGATATAAGATTACTTCTGTCTTGATTTGTGATTCTAATTACTTTGGCTGTTTTAATTTTGTTTTCATTATTGTGATCATTATATTATCGCTTATGATGCCATAATTATTAAACACACTTGCACTTGTATTGCTTTGTTGCCCGGGCTGGAATTAATATTTACATTATTATACATTTTATCATCCTCAACATTTACATTATTATACAATATATTATCCTCACCAATATAATTCTTATCACGATCATTAAAACTATCATCATTATGTTAATATCATAATTATTCACGTTATGTTATTGACGCTGTTGCTATTATTACAGGATTCACATTTAATACAATTATTTCATTGCAATTAATATCACCATTATCAAGATTGATGTAATTATTGTCACCATCACTCACATTATTATTGTTATCGTAGCTAATACACTGACAATATTGGAAAAACGAACTTATGGCAGCAATTACATCGCCATGCACCAATTAGTGTCCATGTTGGGTAATTTGCAACCTGAATATTTCATGCAGCAGGATGTAACGAGCGTTGGTCATACCTACATCGACATAAAACCCCAATTATATTCTTATCATTAATATTTATCCGCATGAGCCAAGTCTCATTAACCATGATGGAGATGAAGTATACAAAAATGTATCTGGTTTAGCGTACTATTATTACCAGCACCGAAGGGAGTTATGTTTTTATATTCATCTCTCAGTCCGTTTGTCTGTTTGTCTATAAAGCTGTTGATATATCTATTTATCAGTTTAAAAAACAATTGTCCATCAATCTGTATATATCTTTGCTTCCCAATCTATTTATATATTTATATGCCAATCTATATATTAATATCTATGATTTTTGTTATATATATTCATCTATTAATTCATTAATGTTTTTATCAGTCATTCTCTATATATATTTATCTATCAATTCATATGTTTATCTATTAGTCTATTACATATCTATCTATCAAATATATAGAGTGACTGGCGGTTCGTGATGTCTAAGAACCAATTAGTTCAAATCTGACGGTGAAGGCGATCTGATAATAGAGTTGCAATGCCATTAATAGATTCGCGACATTGCTCTGCAGAAAATGACTGTTTAGTGGGATTCATATTCCTAAAAAGGAGTCTGGGCCGTTAGATCTACTTCGTAGTTATTGTATTTTACTTCTTTTTTATTATTTATATTATTATTATTTTTTAAATCTGTTTTTTGTAGCAGGCCAAATAACAGTGACTTAAAAAAAAGCATTCTGTCATCTTTGCTACTTTTGTTACCATTAAAAAGAAGTCTTTGATATCAATCACTCGTGGGTCTTTCCTAGGCACAAGCTTAAGCGACGTTGCCTCTTCCTTGCTCTGTGTGTATACGCTTCTAACATTGACATACCTAATTCCTAGGTTAGAGTCATAAATCTATACGAAATGACACCCAACCTTTTAGTATAATCCGGGTTGGAGTCATAAAACTATTCGCATTAACACACACCTTTTAGTATATTCCCCTTTTAAGTTACTCTGTGTGACTGCGTCAATAGGCAGCAAGAACGTCACCTATGTTGGGTCACCTATTTACAAATGTCATATCATTGCCAGCCCATAAGCTCTTGTAACCCTGTAATATATTGCATCCCCGTTCAGCATGATTTGGTGGTCGATCAAACGAATATTCTATCTGGTATTCTTAACTTGTCACCCTTTTAATTGAACATTTATGTATCCTGTCTTTACGCAGTTTCAGTGATCCCAGTATAATGTTATCCATCAGTGTAGAGTTCATAACTGGATTTCTGACGGTTGAATACATCTCTTATATTGTGGAGATATTCATTCTCATTCATACATTTTCTACATTTGTCACACTGAATATGGTTGATGACTAGCCTGTATATTGTGTTTTTAGAATGTCAGCAACGCATTTGGTATTAGGGAATATGTAAAAGATATTTATTTTTTTTAATGGAAACAATTAGCTCATATATATGTATACTTTTGGTGATTTCTTAAAAGTAATGGTGTTATGTACACTAAATTAGTATTTTCTGTCATGTAATTACATCTACTGAATGAAATCTTGAGCATCTATAAACCAATATCAAAGGAGCGCAAAACAGGAAACACACACACACACACACACAAGCGAAGAAAAAACATGAATTTCTAATTCCGTCCCGCCAGTAGGTGGTTTAACAAATCAAAATGAATTATGCCTCATCCGTGGGTTGCATCTTACGAAACATACAGTTAGGCGCAGGTGCCCTTTGTACACAGTCCAAAATTCTGGGCATCCTGAACTTAGCAGTTCTTTTTGTGGTACTTTTTTATACCCCAAGCGAATTTAACTTTCTAAAAAAGTGTATCTTCACTTGTTTCACGAATTACCGGAGCTCGAAACACAATTAACACATTATAAACTCAAATGGCCAACGCATAATCACGAGCTGAACCAGAGGCACTCAATATTTAGATACGAATTTTATTTCACTATGGCCTAGCATACAATTGACTCAGCGGTTGCCTTCATGGACAGAGCAGGCAGTTGGACAAGAGAGGCCTCCTTGACTAACTTCGTGCCATACTTGGACAGCTCAAGCTTAGACAGAGATGCTCTTTGGACAACTCAAGATTGTTTACCTTGGATAACCCAAAACTGGTAGATTGGTGCTTTTCCTTTGTAACGATTGTCATTATTTTTTACTATATGCTCATTAGGAGCAATTTAGTTTTAAATTACTAATTATTATTGTGATTTTTCATGTTATCAATACTATTATGATATTCAGATTATCATTCAGTGATAGTACTACTTGGTTAGTCAATAAGAAATAGTTCTGTAACCTATCAACATTTTCTCAAAATTTCCTCTCGTGAATAAAGTGTAAACTTTATATTGATAATATTATGTGTTATTACCATTTTTGTTTTGTAACAGGATTACTGACATCACATTCATAAATCATGAAAGTTGTTTGGATATTATCAAATGTTATAAACTGTTGATACGCGTGTATAATCTACCCTAATTTCAGTGAAGACTTCATAGGAAGGTTGAGCCCGTCTACACAAATGCGTGACACGTGCGCAGGTGTTATGTTCATACCCATGAGACTAGTTGCCAGTTCACTATTTACCGTTTAGCGATGCTTCTTATTGTCCATCTTATTCTCATATGATCAGCTTGTGCAGTATGTGTTTGTGTCAGGTATATGAAAGGGTCCTATAGCATCCAAAGTTTATACACATCCACAATGTTCTTAACCTCAACAAATATTTGCTACGGCTGGAAAGACTATCACATTGCATTTCATTACACAGCAGTCACGAATGAAGATTATATATACACCAAGTACTCAGTGATCTTTAATCCTCATTTAATCATACCACAAGGACGCGCTAGTCATATTACATGTCTGGTATAGTGCAGACATTATGCACTATGTACAGAACAGTGAAATACAATTATAGTGAGTTAAGCACTGCGATCTCACAAGCTTTGGTCACCGTGCCGTCAACAAAAACAAGACAATAAAAAATATTACGTGAAACTATCAAGTAACAATGCAACACGGGAACGTACTGTGCTGTAGACTGCCAGTCATTGTGGTCTTATCTGTACCACACCAATCAGATTGACTGCTGTTAAAGATACGTTCCAAATCAAATATTTTTCAGTAGCAGTGGTCGTGTTCAAATATTTCACTACTTTATCTGAATGAGAATAGCAGATTTCAAGTAAACCAACAAATCTGATGTGACTAATTAGACCTCAAATTGTTTCATTTGTTCGTCTTCGCTCGTCCTGACAAGTTTTCCTCGGCAACTGAGCAACGACGTACGTAGGATGCAATCAGAAACTGCAGACATGAAGTATACCAGGTGAAAAGAACAAGTACGAGTCTGTTTACCGATTGTACATATCTTATTCGTTCGTTAGTATATCTGTAGTATTTTCGACGGGCGTGCTATTTATGTGTGGTGGTTGCTATGGCAAGGGTTGATTAAAGCCGCAACTATGACACACATGCATGCGTTTACCATAAATATATACATATGCACATACATACACACACACACACACAAATATATTATGTGTGTGTGTGTGTGTGTTTGCGTGCGTGTTCATATACCTCGATTAATAGGTTTATCAGATTCAACAATAAAAAACCATCATTACATTTAACATATTTATCAGATTCAACAACAAGCTCATATTCATATTATATTAATTTCAGAACTTAAAACATCACATAACAACGTGCGAGAATCCATAATGACAAAAGGAACTTCCCTGTTAACCTGGACTCCTCCACTATGGTCTTGAGATCCTATAGTTGGCGCCTCCATCTGGGGGAGATTCCGGGAACTAGGGTTCAGGTGTCTTTGCTGCAGAAAGAGAGGAAGTTTGATAATAACGAAACCCTCATAGAGAGGTACTGTTTTCTTTTGTTTATTATTAGCAATTTTTTTTTTATCTGGGATTGAGCGTGAAAAAGTAATGAATTCAGCTGCGTGGCGTGTTCGTCCTGGAGTACCAACAACTAAACCTTTTTTTGCCATTTTGGAAACTAACTTTAGAAAAATTGAGATTTCCCAAAAATGCGAAAACACTAATACAAAAACACAAACGCAAATGCAAAGAAGGGATACAAAAAAAATCTTAGTAAACAACTACAATAATTTTTCTAAAAGGAAAAAAAATATATATAGGCTTCACTCTATAACATCCAATCCAACAAAATAAAAAAAAAAAAAAACATACAAAACGGGAAAAAAACAAGACTAAACCAATAATAGCAATGAGAATAAAAAAGTGAAAAAAGAGAAGACAAGATTTAGAAGAATCCTCTTTCAACCAAAATGTCTCCGCGCCACAACCTCCAACTCGTCATACCAACCAGCGTCCTTCTGTGCGGGAGCGACACACAGTTCTTGCGGGTCTCCTTCCTGGCCTTCGGGGCAAGAACACACAGGCTCGTTGAGGATGACGTCACACTTGGCACTCACACTGCAGGCGCCGTCACACACGTCCATACAGCGACCGAGGACGCACCCCAGGCCGGGGAGGCAGTCACTCATACTGGAAGGGAGAAGGAAGGCAGTATAGTATATGACAAAATTGCTATGACAGTATTGAAAGTCATTTTATTATTGTCTATTCATTTAGTCATTTCCATTTTATACTTATAATTTTATGGTCTTCATTTTCTTAAGTGGAGGTAGCGATAA